ATAAAAATGTCCAGTTCCCCTGGAGAAGCCGAGTGAGTTCCGCTTTGCTAGTCAAAAAAAGATCAGTTTCAGGTTTCTCTTCAGATGTGCATTTTAGAAAGGCAGACAGAAACTGGGGACTGACAACCCTGTACGACAGTCCGACCCGGTAGAGTGGTCCTAATTGGCAAAGCTGTTTGGACCCCACTAATTTAAATAAAGAGAAATCTCTGATATAGACGACAGCAGTCTTGCCTGAAACTGTCTGATCTTTTTTTTAAAAAAAGGTTTTTATTTTTATTTTCTTTCCCTTTAGACTAACCAAGCACCCATCTACCAGCTCTGTGAACCCCGCCAATAACTTTAAATGACAAAATCAAATACCAATTTCAAGCAGCCATCCCTTCTACCAAACAGCAGCTCTAAATAATCCATGTTCACACCCCAACACATTGCCCACTATGTCTATTTCCCCGAATTTTCGTTCATTACCAAGCAAAACAACTTGCCCTGAAGCTCTGACCTATTTCAGACAAGACCCGAAACAGAGCAAATTAGAAAATTCTGTCATTTTTAAAACCTTCCCAAAGTCACAAACATACTGTACGAATGACGTTTCTGAACCATAAAGGCCGGATCCAACTGCCATGGAAGTTGGCGGGAGTCTTCCATTGACTTCAGGATTTGCACCAATAGTTTGAATCCGTTGAAAAAAATGTATCTCCACAGACACAAATGTGGAAGGCAGATTTTTAAACATTATCAAGCATACAAGGGAGGAATGTGAATAATTTAGTCTAGTCTAGTTTTAAAATTTTTAAACTGTCCAATTTCAGAGAGAGAACATTCTTGGGATATCTATATCTATCTATCTATATATATATAAATGTGTGTTGAAGGTTTTCATTTCTATCAGTACAAGAAACATTTTATTTTGTGTCTCCAGGGTATTGGCAGGAAACTTGTAAGCACCATCTGCCATTCCAGTTGCATCACAGGTTTGTAGTCTAGCTGTTTGTTTCATTAGATACTGGGTTGCTGATGGATGAGCAGGTAGCACAGTGGTCCCCAACGCGGTCCCCGCGGGCGCCCTGGCGCCCTCTGGGGCATCTATGCGCACCCATGTACTGTCCGGCAGACAAGCATCCGCCGAAATGCTGCCAAGAAGCAGCGTCATCCAGAGGCGTCGCCGCCAAAATGCCGCTCTGGATGACGCTGCTCCTCGGTGGCATTTAGGTGGCGACGCCTATTGACGTTGTCGCTTGTCGGCGACATTTCGGCGGATGCTCGTCCGCCGGCCAGTTCTGGGTGGCTCGTCGTCCGGCGCCCGCCAGACGAAAAAGGTTGGGGACCACTGAGGTAGCAGATCTGGCCAAGAGCATGTTTTTTTTTCATTTGTGCCTGGCAAGAAGAGTTCATGGACTTTATCCACAAAGTGCCACCTCAATATTAAATTAACGTACTATGTGAGCTGAAATCAAAAACGATGGGCATCTGTGGAAACATGCCCCGGTGCACCCTTGGTTTACTTGAACAATGTGCACAATATGGTCACCCACTCCAATACCTTGCACAGTGAGTGCCTTACACTAGTGCTCCAGAATCTGCACTGGCTGCCAACAAGTTGCCACATGGAATTCAAGGGTTTGTTTTAGAGCCCGGTTCCCCAAGAGACTACCTCTCTTTTCTTGCAATATTAGCATCTCGGCAACCAGTGGAGCCCTGTTGCTTTACAAGGTCACTCATAGGAAGTTGGTCATGAAGGGTCCTTGAAGCTTTGGATAGCCCAACTTTTCTTTTTGGTATGTAAGGAAGGGAGGTGGGACAATGGGTTAGATCTGGGAATACTGTTGTTAATTGGTAGGCTGGTTTCATTGTTGATGTCTAGTCACTTCTAAAATATATTGAAAGTTCAAATTTTTGTATTAAATATTGTTAATTTTAATTTCTGTGAAATATCTAGGGCTTGATCCAAATCCCATTGCAGTCAATGGAAAGACTCCAATTCACGTCAGTGGCCTTTGGACCAGGTCCTTACTATATAAGACAGTTGCTATCAAAACACAAGCAATAAACAAAACCAGGGCCTCTTTCAGGACCGGCTCTAGGCACCAGCAAACCAAGCACATGCGTGGGGCGGCACAGTTTCAGGGGCGGCATTCTGGCCACCTTTTTTTTTTTGCTTCGGCAGTTGTGCTCTCAGAGTTGTTGTTGTTGTTGTTGTTGTTTTTTGCTTGGGGTGGCAAAAAACCTAGAGCCGGCCCTGGCCTCTCTGCAAAGTGCATCTCTGCCTTGTGTGATCAAATATGGAATACTGCATTTTAGAACGATTCAATACAACAAATAAAGACAACAGTCCCGAACAAAGTGTCTTACAATGCTGAAACTGTCCTCACTGAGGGTATGTCTACACTTAAAATGCTACAGTGACACGGCTGCAGTAGCACTTCAGTGTAGACACTACCTACGCTGACGGGAGGGGTTTTCTCATGGGCATAGTTAATCCACCTCCCTGAGAGGTGATAACTAAGTCAATGGAAGAATTTTTCCATCAACCTACCACTGCTAAACTGGGGGGTTAGTTCGGCATAACTACAGCTCTCAAGGGGTGTCGATTTCTCACGCTCTGAGAGACGTAGTTATGCTGATGTAAATTTGCGGTGTTGGCCAGCTCTAAGTGTACTTAGTAGTAAGGGTATTTGGAATTTAACTGTGGTAGTGATTCATTAACCATATATTCAATTATTGCACTGTATTTGCAGACATTTATGATAGGCATTAATTACATGTATTATAATCACATTCTAATGTTCATTAATGATAAACAATGTGTATTAATATCACTCAGACAAGAACTAAAGATTAAGGTGGAAACCTATTTGATGTAATGGCCATTAGTCAATTCAGAGTGATGCTTGGGAGCCTAATATGAATGGAGACAGTCAATATTTCATCAGGAAGATTCTCCCATCTTCTTGTGAAAAGTTCTTTGTCTTAAAAAAAAAGTTACTTAATTAAAAATGCACATTTTAAAAGGATGTATTTTAAATGGTACTGTATTGTTCTATTGAAATATATGGGGCCAAATTCAGGCCTGATCTAACCACACTCCCGTTAGTAGAATTGAGTGCTTGTATCAATGCTGACTTTGGCCAGCGTCTCAAAGTTAACATTTTTAATCCATACAAAATATTTAGCTCCAGTATCATTTTTGAAACCCATCAATAAGAATAGGTCAGTCATGTAGGCTGTGGAGAATTCTCTCTTGATTGCAACTGACCGGTTGGAGTATTTACCTGTTCAGTCCTGATTAATGTTAATAAGATCCGACAGTGGTCCCACACCATGTGCAGTATAGTGAAATACACCACCTGCGTGAAAAGTTTTGTTCACCCTCTTCAGTGGCTAAACTATCAGCTTGCTCCCAGTGCAGACATTAGTTTCCCTCCTTGACATCACTTTGCAATGGCTTTGTTTAGAATGCAGAAGAAGTGTTAGATTGGCAGCCCTGGGTACTGAAATCCTCTCGTAATCTAAAGAATAGATACAGTCAATGGTGCTGGAACTAGGGATGCTGGGGGTGCCGCCGTACTCCCTGGATTGAAGTAGTAATAACAAACTTCAAATACGTGGTTTCCATCATCAGCACCCCCACTATGAAAATTGTTCCAGCATCCCTGGATATAGTTCAGCATGGGCAAAGGTTCCCCAAGTTTCCCCACCATCAATGTGCCTTAATCTTGAACAGAACAGTCACTTATTTGGGGTGGGGGCAGCAGAAGGTAAGTCATTTCCCGTGTCCATCCATTGCTTGTCCTCTCTCCTGAAGGGTGCTAATTATCGCTGGCTTGCAGTTACCCTAGAGATTACAGTAGAGGCATCGGCACTCTCATCACACAAAAAATCAAAACCAGGTTAGTTGAGGAGATTGAGCCAGTAGAAGCAGCCAGTCGGAAAGCCAAAAGAAGAGGACCATCTCCATCCAGCAGGGATGGCTTCCAGGGATTGAAGAGTGGTCAGAGCAAAGGGTGTTCTTCAGCTGTTTGTAGTTCCTTATCTGAAACATCAGGTTTAGCAAAGCTGAACAGCCACCAGGGGCAGAAATTGTGTTTCTCGACATACCAGTTGACCGGCAAGGAAGAGCATTAATAAAAATTGTGGATTATGTTTGTTGCCCCAAAGAATATGTAACTTGAAGGAATTCATTAATTGACTGAAATGAATGGGAGGTGTGCAGTATTTGGCCCGTACCTGGTTTTGGTGTCCTTGTTAGCTACATTAATATATTATTATATTTCTTGTATTGTCTTGGAAAGCAGGTAAGCAGAAGTTCAGACTGGAGAAGGTGAACAAGTGCAGTTAGTCATATAAATGCTGTAACTTTCTCACCAAAGAAGTTCTCTCATCTTGCGGCTGGCACTTGAAAAACCTCTAAAGTGCTGGTGCCTGATCTAATGCCCATTGAAGTCCATAAGAGAAGCCTGAAGAAGTGTATTGATTTTAATGGGGGTTGAACCAGACCCCAGATGCTAACTTAGTTATTTAATTTAGTTAAACACAAAGGGAGGTAGGGTCCAACTTATTTCTTTACCTTTTGCTTCTCTTGTTTAGAAATTTTGTTCAATGATTATAGCTCAATTGGTGACGGTGCTGGCAGCACAGTGGCAAATTTGGAGAAATGCTGGAAAATTGGCAAAATAAATTTGTGTAGACTTGCACATACTTTTGGAGAGGGGGGGCAGAGAACAGAATTCACACTCAAGATCCATTTTTCCCACTATACAAACTCCAGCTATTTCCTACAATTCAGATGGTAATCTTTGATGCGGTTCACCTGGAGAAGTGACTCCAACCAAATAGTAAAAGACAGTGTAACCCGCGCTCTCTGATTACAGAACATTCTTTTCTAAGCCTATATGTTCTTGGTGATACTTGGTACAAAGAGGACAACTGCCCTCACACTTTAGCTCATCTGTCATGTGTTCTTGTCAGCTCCAATATATCCTTTTTCTTTTGTTAAGGGCTTCAGATGGGATACAGCAAAGCTGATCTATGCCTGCTACTGCAACAGGTCTACACGTGATTTTTCAGCAAGCTAAATTGCTAAATTTAAGGTAACCCATCTCATTTAACTATTCTAAAGGATTCATTAGCGGCTAGCCCCTGTTCTAGCAATATTCTACACTTGTTACTACTTATAACAGTTAGTCTTGCCTTTTTTAATTTTTTTTTGCCAATGGTAGGAATCAGATTGCAATGTTATGGCTTTGTATAAATATTTTTTAATAATATGTTGCTGGCCGTTGTGGGTGGCTGTGATAATGAGAAGGAAACCTATTTTCTACCTGTCTGTTTTTAGATTTGTGCCTGATTTGGGCTCGAGCAAGTTCTTCTAACATTGTTAATGGTGGAGCGCCACCTGCTGTATCCATGGTTATCTGAATGAGACATTTTTCTAGATAGCCTGAATGTCTAGAATAGAATTAGAATATGCTTAAAATTAAATTAACCCATTTGCAGTTACTGAATCCCAGGTAATATTTTCCATTGTACTAAATTGCTGGGGCCAATTTAATGCCCCCTTTGTATGTGACTGGCATACAGTTTGCCCCATGAACAGCAATATTTACAAATAGTAAGAAGAGAGCAGGAGTAGCAAAACATGATTGCCCCCTGGAAATCAACCATAGTGTAAAACCACTGAGATCAGAATGGGCACTAGAGGTCATTAGCTGGGAGCTGATTGGCAGTGTTGTCATCTTCACTTATAAGTTCTGATTCTCCTTTTCCATAACATCAGTTTTACACAGAGCAACTTCGTGGACACAGCAGCATGAAATCACAATCAGGTCGACAATCTTTGGGCTTAGGTTTCAGAGTAGCAGCCGTGTTCGTCTGTATCCGCAAAAAGAACAGGAGTACTTGTGGCACCTTAGAGACTAACAAATTTATTAGAGCATAAGCTTTCGTGGGCTTTGGGCTTAGGGTGGACCTACAAGTCTCAGCAACTCTAGGAAACCTTCCAAACTGGGAAACAGCTCCCCCTGGTGCTCTCCTAAACATCTTTCAGTGTCCTACTAATTCCGAGTTGCACTTACTTGTCTGCAGGTCCTACAATTTAAAGATCAAAATATGCTGCTTATCTGTGTTGTGTGTGCAATAAACTTATTCCACAGTTCACATCAATTTGGGTGAAAGTCATTCAGTTCACATTGTTCTCTAGCCCTGGGTGATAGTAAAAAACATCAGATCAAATATGTGTTCTTTCATATAACAAAGGCTTCAGCCCTGCAGTCCTCCTCCAAGTAAAACTCCCACCATAGTCTGGGCCTGAGAATGCCTGCAAGATGAGGCTCAAAGCCTTTTTTGAGGCATCTTAACCAACAGGATTACTGTATCCAAATTGTAGAGATGCTGTCAGTTCAGGTTAGGCTGGAAATATTGGGCCAGGAAGTCTTTGGACTGCAGGATTGATCCCTATGTTTAGGAAAAAGGGGTTTACACACCTTAATAGCAATGATCCCCAGATCCTTTATTAAAATACATGAAAATATGTTGGGGGAATGTAACCATTCTCCTTGCAACATGGCTCATATAGAGTATGAGAAAAGGAAAGCGAAACCAGCCAGTGAAACTGTCCAGGCCAGCTTTGTTGTCTCAGCTGAATGAAATGCCAAAAGGAAACCGACTGCATAAATGGCAAGAAGTATATTAGATTTACACAATTAGTGCATTTTTCATACTCAACTAGTCTAAAATTAGTGACAGAGGAAAGGAAATCAAATAAATGTCAAAACCCAGAAACTTTGGGCTACATCCTCAGCTGATATAAATTGATGCAATTCGGCCCATCAAGGAGCCAACGCTGATTTACTCTGGCTGAGTATCTCACCATCATTTCAAAAGCATCCTGGTTGCTAAGTGACAACCACACACATACCATATCCGTAATCTATTATATTCAGTTTTCTTGAAGATTACGCTCGGCTTTGATGGAATTTAGGAAACAATAGGGATATAGTGGGGGAGGGTGAAGTGTGTGTGAAAGTGTTGGGGGACTGATGGATTTTAGAGGCTGGCTGAATGGTAATGACAGTCTGTGCTTGGTTCAGGGGGACTTGATCAGAATGACTCTACAGAAAGTCTATGACATCAAGTCTATAGGTCTGGATTGTACTCAGGAGATGCACATGCTGTTTCACCCTCTGTGTGCAGATCTCCTCTGTCCTGTGCAGAAATAGGGAGTCTGCTGTCTTGTTCCCTCCCATCTTAGCATCTGGATTTGATACTTTCTTGGAACTGGAGCTCTCAGACAGTCCCTATTAGTTTTTGCTTTTTGTTTACAGACACAGGGCTCCAGGTGCATGTGCATCTTCTAGAGATGAGGACTCCGTTGTGTACGGTGGAGAGGAGATCACAGCGGTCATCACGGGTTGAATGATCACCGTTGGTGACACAGTTCCAAAGATGAAACACAAACTCCTGGATCCACAGGTGGTTCTGTTAGTGAATGTTTTCTGCAGAGCGCAGAATCTCTGTGCCACTGTGATCTCCCACGGCAGCACAGGTGTTTTCATCTTCCAAGGGCTCTTTTGAGCACAATCTTCTGCAAGCAGCTGATTAATGTAAACCTGCTGTGTATGGTGTTACTTCCTCAGTATGCCTATGGCAAAGAACAGTGTTTACAGGTTAGGGGAATCAGGAGGACATATGCCAATAGAAATCATTTAATGTTGATAGCAATGTTTGCTGAGGGCAGTCTCCTTCCCTATCAAACTTTCCCACTCCTAGGTTATGGTTTTTCAAGGGGGCACCTTTATGGAGGGGGTGTTCTGGGAACTAGAGTCTTAAAAGATTTTTGCAGCTAGGAAGCCAAGTAGTTCCTTGTGCTAGGGGAGACAAGAGTGTTTTGCCTCTTTACATCCAGGCGGGTCATGTTGCGTTGCATGTTGTGTTGTATACTTGTGGAGTCAGAGGGAATACTAAAACATTTCAAAAACATACTGAAATATGTGGCTTTTCTTTTTTAAACTACATCCAAGCCATTTAGGTCTATAACCATTATGGAACAGTGACTAAAAAAGAGAGTGAAGGAAAGACAAGAAGTCACAATGCAATCAATTTAAAATGGTTTGACGGGGGCTGGTTCCACTTCCCAATGCAAGAACTAGTGAGAAGCTGAGTTCTACTGTCTCCAGCTGCGATGCCGCATGTATGTATCTGAACGTGTGACGACTGTGTGACGACCGGCTTTATAACAAAGCAACTGGTATTTTAAATGATGCTTCAGGCCACTAGAAAATACTCCCCAATTATTACTACCTAGCTTAACACTTAAAGGGGAATATTAAAACACCTGAAAACTTTCAGCCATATCACATGGAAATAATCTCTAATCACTGCACAAAGCTACAGTTTTAGGTTCAGCTGCAATGTTAATAGGATACAGAGGCTTGTGCTTTGCTCATGGGACAGATCGTGAAGTTTTTACTCGGACTGTCACTTGAAGCCAATGGGTGTTTTACTTGAGTAAGGAATGAGTGAAAATCCCCAGAGACCCTTAGGATTTGACCATAGATCTTAATATATGGGCTGATAGAAGTGGTGATGACAGCAGAGTAGCGTGTGTCCCTTCAAAAGTTAGGACCAAGGGAGAAGCTATGGAATAATGAGGATAGGGGCTAGAAGTCTAGTCCCCAAAGTTAGGACAATTAGTTGGAGGAAAATGCCCTATGAAGTATATTTGGTTTCTTACGTGAACCTTTATAAAGTTCCAGATATACTGTATATAAGGCTCCCACCTATTAATGTTGATCTTCCAAGACCAATTCATTTTATCCTGGTGCTTGACGCCTTGCGCTTGTCAAGCATAAATGTCCATGAGGCAACATCCCGCTACGGTGACGTGTTAACCCCACAGATATTTGGAGAACTGTTAATATCTGGCAGGCCAAGGTTGCAGGGTGCAGAAGAGCCCCCCCCTCGAATACAAACCATCAGCATTTGGCTGGCTGATAACACTACACACTACGGAGAGTCATTTGGAGGCTCTGGGTTTTTCGGGAGCAGTCCGGGGCTCTCTAGAACAATCCCTACTGGAAGGTGCCACTTTCTTATTTTATCCGGTGACCCAAAAAAAGTGACAGAAATAGTGTCTCCCTCCCACCACCTATGTAAAGGAAGGGTAAGGTTGGCACTTGCCGACATGCCTGCAAAGGAGAGTGAGGGAGCTAGAACTCCCCTTTATTGTCCTCTACTAGCTCCCCACATTGCAGGTCACAGCATCAGCAGGAGAGCAGCCTCCATAGGGCTCCTGCTCCCTGCCCTAGGCAGAAGGGTGTGGGCAAAGCCTGAGCATAGCCCGTGACTTCACTTTGCAATGTGCCAGCCAGCGTAGCTGAACTGACAGGGAGGGAGGAGTAAAGGGCTGGCACAGATTACTGCCCCCTCGTGCAAGGAGAGAAGCAGGGACTGAACTGTGACTTTCCAAATCACAATTCACGCCCTGATCTGCTCCTGGGACAGCACAGCTAGACGCTGCCTTGACTCACAACAGATTGCACTGTCACAGTGTAGCCCTGACTTTGGGTTTTCATCTGTCTTTGTTTATCTTTTATTGTCTGTCTCGGGTCTTACGCCTGGAGGAGAATGTGGGTGCCTTTCAGAGATCACTGCTATAAATGGAGAGTGGACAAATTTCCTCCCCACTTCCCTTCTTTCACTCATTTATTATGTATTCACACACACACACACACAGAAACGCAGCCCCTTGTGGGGTGTGACAATCAGAAATGGTGACAGTGCTTCTTGGAAACGATCACAGTCACAAGTGTACCAGAAAAGTAAAACAGAAAAATGAAAACTTGAGAGATCCGGCTCATAAAAGTTTCATGATTTTTAAAGCACAAGCAAGTGCTTGGTTGATCGGGTGACCAGATGTCCCGATTTTATAGGGACAGTCCCGATTTTGGGTTTTTTTTCTTATATAGGCTGCTATTACTCCCCACCCCTGTCCCGATTTTTCACATTTGCTGTCTGGTCACCCTATTGGTTGAAGAAAGGGACGTCGCATACAACAAAAATAAGTATAATGTGCTAGAAATTGTTTTGTTTTTTTTTTTTAAAAGCTACTAAACAAAGGCAGTGTTTGAAGTAACAAAAATCAAACTGTTTTTAAGAGCAAATAAATGATAATATATCTTTATATTGGATCCCCTCCCACCTCCCAGCCCTACTGTCCTGGAGACCCTGCCCCTCCTCAACCAGCCCAACCCTCCCAAACCTCCTGCCTCCCCCCACCTCACCATCCAGAAGCCCCTAACTCCTTCCTACCCACCACTCTGACTATCCTGGAGCTCCTGCTTCCCCACCATCACCACCAGCTTGACCATCTTGGAGCCTTTGCCTTTCCCCTTCCATACCTGTCCTACCAGCCCAGAGCCCCTTCCTCCCCCTGCGCCCCCCCCAAAACAACCCAACCATCTGAGAGCCCCGGCCTCCCCTCCCCTCACAGCCCAATTTGTCCCAGAGGCCCTCTCCCCTGCCCCCCCCCCCACCCACCAGCCCACCCATCCCAGAGCCCCTGTCTTGTGGAAAGGGGAAAGGACAGTTCTGACCAATCACAAGAACTGATAAATAATTCTTCCCTTGTGGCTTCAATGACGTTAAAATACCCTAGCGCCCCTGCCAATGATTCATAAAATTATAGGGCTTCCATTGAGTGCAGCGGGCATTTTCCAAGAGTAAAGAAGGAGTAAGGAGTGCAGGAACTGGCTCACATAAAAATAAGGTATAATATAATAGCAAATACCTCCTTCCCCCATCCTTTGTCTGTGTTGTCTAGTTAGACTGTGAACTGTAAATGGAAGGAATGGTCTTTTACTCTGTTTTTACAGCTAGCACAACGGGGGTCCCAGTCACAGAGGGGGATCTCGGAGTGCTCTTGGAATACAAGTTAGCAATAATCAGAACTAGATCATTTCCCTGCTGTATTAACATATATGTAAAAGGAAATTAACTATAGAATGTTTGTAGACAGAAAAAAATGAATGAAAATCAATAAACATATATATATATATTTGTTATGCTAAAGCTAGTATTGGAAGGGTTTTTGTTTTACTTCTGAGATGTTGAATTTATTAATATCTCCAATTATTTGCTCCCTGGCACATCCAGGGTTTGAGCCTGCATAAGGAGATTATGCTGTCAGAATGTCTGTAAGAATACTAGGGATGTCATAAGAGTCTAACAGTGACATTAAGATGGTGGCAGTACACAGGATACAGTACATGAATAAACAAGTATGGCTGTTTATTCCATCATCTTTCTCCTCTCCATCTTAATTTCTGGTTGCGGAACAGTCAAGAAAAATGAAACTCCTTCGGAAGGTACAGTGCTCAGCGAACCTTATAACCCCAGGCTGAAGTCAGGCATTGTCTTTAGAGCAGAGTTTACTAACCCCATTTTTAAAGATGAGACATCATTTGATGTCACTGTCCGTAACGATATGATAAAGACCGAGCAAAATGTTCTAGGCCAGTTTGAAAGCTGGCAATTAGGTGGCTAAACTCAGCAAGGAGCAAAAGTAATGGCAGCAGAACTATGAATTTAGAGCACATGTGAGATTTACTAAGGTTGTATATTTTATCCCACTGGAGTCATGATAATATTCGAAGATTCTCAGAACCTCAGTCCATTTGACATCCAGGTACTTGATGTTTAAAACTGCGTCTTTAAAATGTTTTAGGACTGGTTCCGTCCAGGGATGCGTGAATCTCAAATGGTTTCATGCACCTTGAATAAGCCTCACAGAAGATGAAAGCTTATCTGGATTTATAAAAATTATTCTCTCTTTGCACCTTCTATTATTCTCCCTCCCACCAACTCATCCTTCCAGCTCACAATTTTCTTTCTTCACACTACAGCTATCCTCTCCTTGAACTCCAGGGAGTCTCATACATTTGGTGATATCTCACTGGTGTTTTATATCTGCCACTGTCTGGCCTAGGATACATCTGGCTGCTGGGTGCAGAATAGATTACTTCACAGCTTGCTAAATTTAGAGGTGATCCTGAATTACCATCTTACCTTGGGTCTTGTAGAAACTCAAAATAAGTTTAGAAGAAAAAAATTGAACCAGAAGAGACAGTCAGGCCTAGAAGATATGAAGCTTCAGCAGTGACTTAGTGGCCTGTTGGTATCTGGGGAGAATGAAGGAGCTGGTCTGTCCTTGAAGGGCACCATAAATGTGTTTAATAGGGCCGGCTGAAAAGTTTCCATCAAAACTGGTTTTTTATATAAAATTGGGTTTTTGACTAATTTGTCTGTTAGCTAAACAACAACAAAAGAACGCCCAATACTGAAATATTTTGGCCAGGAAAAAAAAATCCAATTTGGAAATGCTGTTGCAGTGTCTTATGGGAGTTGTAGTCTTCCATTCTCCTCTATGGGCTGGGCTTCCCCTCTCTTGGTGCACCATGGCCAGGGACTCCTCTCTCCAAAAGGGGAGGACCCTGGTTGCATTACAGCAGATGTAGTCCATTCACGTATCAGAGGGGTAGCCGTGTTAGTCTGGATCTGTAAAAAGCGACAAGGAGTCCTGTGGCACCTTATAGACTAACAGAAGAAGTATTGGAGCATAAGCTTTCGTGGGGGAATACCCACTTCGTCAGACATCTGACGGGACGGGACGGTGAGGCACCAGAACTACAACTCCCAGGAGTCACCACAGCAACATTTCCAAAACAAAAAATGTCAGTTTTTGAATTTCCGCTAACAATCCATCTTCCATTCCGCTAACAATCCATCTTCCATT